CCATCCAGCCACCCATAGAGCCCCACTGGGTATTCTCAGGCCCAATTCAAATTCCAAGAGAGACAATCTGCTTGGCTATTGGTACAGCTTCTCTTAATCCAATATATTTTGACTAGGGAATGGAGGCAGACACTCTCTGGGTAGTTGATCTATTCCTGGAGAAGAATTCTTGGAGAACTGGCTCACAGTTTAGGCAAACACCCTCCATTTTAAGAACTCCTCCCTGCTGGAGTAGAAGGTTCCAGTTCTTGGGACAAGGAAGAGGATTTTCCTGGAACCTACCGATGGTAACCACAGCACATCACAACAGTCCCTGCTGGGGGATGTTTTAGGATGCTACAATTGCCATGAAAGCATACACCTTTATCTCCCTGTCTCAAGAAGGCAAGAAATTCACCAGGAAGGCAGACATTTTTTTTTTGGAACCAGGCATGGGACAAATTAAATATTTGTCTAAATATTTAATTTACATTTTAGCTATGTTTATATATTTAAATATTTAAAAGCTATAAAAACTGAAGCTAGCAACTTGTTAAAATAAATGTTCTATCCTCTTACCTTGACAAATATATCTTTAAAAAGGCAAAATCCAAAATATTGTAAAGCTTTGATTTTTGTAGTTATTTTATTATCCCCCCTTTTTTAAAAAAAAAATTTTTTTTGGCCGTGCCCTGCGGCATGTGGTATCTTAGTGCCCCAGCCAGGGATTGAACCTGGGCCCCCTTCACTGGGAGCGTGGAGTCTTAACCCCTGGACCACCAGGGAAGTCCCTTTTGTAGTTACTTTAATTTTAAAAAACTTAAGCCATTAAATATTTTTATAAAAATAATTACAGTTTTTGCATTCAATAACCACTTAATTCCCAGCATAAAGAATTGGTATTGGGACTCCCCTGGTGGTACAGTGGTTAAGAATCCACCTGCCAATGCAAGGGACATGGGTTCGTGCCCTGGTCCGGGAAGATCCCACGTGCCGCAGAGCAACTAAGCCCAAGCGTCACAACTACTGAGCCTGCGCTCTCACCCTGCGTACCTAGAGCCTGTGCTCCACAAGAGAAACCACCGCAATGAGAAGCGCGCGTACCGCAGTGAAGAGCAGCCCCCCGCCCCCCGCCCCCACCGCAACTAGAGAAAGCCCACGCGCAGCAACTAAGACCCAATGCAGCCAAAAATAAATAAAAAAGAATTGGTATCACACTTCAAGCATGATACATCTAGAACTACATGTATAAAAATTAGAGTAATAAAAATTGCTTCTATTTTATTTTTAAAAACTATCCAATTTAGAATGTTTATTTTTGGCAGGAGGCATTGAGGACTCTTTTACATTAAAAATTAAGGTAAGATCTTACTCAAATAAAGATCTATTAAAAAAAAAACAAAAGAAAAGAAAATGTCTCATAGTATCTTGTTCAAAGATCTTTGCTTACTATTTTTAAATGTTCTTAAGCCATACGTGCAATTGTTGTGAACAGCACACTAATTTTCTAGTACTTTTGGAACCATGAATTGAAAGGCAAGAAAATAGACACTAGGTAGTGGGCAAGACTCTGTTGCTATTTATGCTATCTGAGAGGAAGAATTTGACAAATTTAAAAATGTGTCTTTTTCTTTTACCTAAGCACTTTGCTGCTCAAATCTTACCAGTATTCCAAAGCACTGTCCACAGACTTGCAGGGCGTTTACACGCAGTCGCCTTTTGTTTTGAGAACATAGGGCAAAAGGAATGGAGAGGGCTTCCCTGGTGGCGCAGTGGTTCAGAATCTGCCTGCCAACTCGGGGTACATGGGTTCTGAGCCCCGGCCCGGGAAGATCCCACATGCTGCGGAGCAACTAGCCCGTGCACCACAGCTACTGAAGCCCACACGCCTAGAGCCCGTGCTCCGCAACAAGAGAAGCCACTGCAATTACAAGCCCGCGCACTGCAATGAGGAGTAGCCCCCGCTCGCCGCAACTAGAGAAAGCCCGCGTGCAGCAACAAATACCCAATGCAGCCAAAGATAAATTAAAATAAGTAAATTTATTTTCTTAAAAAAAGGAACGGAGAAACATTTCTCTAGAGCCTGAACAGTGTTTAGTCCCAAGAGGGGATATTTAGGGAAACAGGTTATGCTGTCCCGGCGCTAAGCACTAGATCCTGAGTGACAGAGATGCCCAAATGTTCATCAGTAAATACATGTGTTTGTTCTTTTCCTCCAATTTTATTGAGATATAACTGACCAACAGCACTGTATAGTTTAAGTAGAGCATAATGATTTGACTTAGCATACATCATGAAATGATTATCACCAGAAGTTTAGTGAAAATCTATCATCTCACATAGGTAGAAAATTAAAGAAATAGAAAAATAATATTTTTTTCTGCGATGAGAACTCTTAGGATTTACTCTCTTAACCACTTTCATATATTACACAGGGCAGTGTTCGTTATATTTATCATGTTGTACATTATGTCCCTAGTACTTATTTATCTTATAACTGGAAGTTTGTACCTTCTGACCACCTTCATCCAACTTTGCCTTCCCCCACCCCCTGCCTCTGGTAACCACAAATCTGATCTCTTCTGTGAGTTTGTTTGTTTTATTTATTTGGTTGTGCTGGGTCTTAGTTGAGGCAGGCGGGCTCCTTAGTTGCGGCTCACTGGCTCCTTAGTTGTGTCATGTGAACTCTTAGTTGCAGCATGCATGTGGGATCTATTTCCCTGACCAGGAACCGAACCTGGGCCCCCTGCATTGGGAGCGTGGAGTCTTAACCACTGCACCACCAAGGAAGTTCCTGTTTGTTTGTTTTTAACATCTTTATTAGAGTATAATTGCTTTAAAATGGTGTGTTAGTTTCCGCTTTATAACAAAGTGAATCAGTTATACATATACATGTGTCCCCATATCTCTTCCCTCTTGCATCTCCCTCCCTCCCACCCTCCCTATCCCAGCCCTGTTTGTTTCTTGTTTTTGTTTTTGTTTTTGTTTTTTGCCGTATGCGGGCCTCTCACTGTTGTGGCCTCTCCCGTTGCGGAGCACAGGCTCCAGACGTGCAGGCTCAGCGGCCATGGCTCACGGGCCCAGCCACCCTGCGGCATGTGGGATCTTCCCGGACCGGGGCACCAACCCACGTCCCTTGCATCGGCAGGCGGACTCTCAACCACTGCACCACCAGAGAAGCCCTATTTGTTTGTTTTTGAAGTAAATACATGTGTCTGTGATATGCAGGGTTCTCTAAAGCACAGGATCCGGGTAGGGGCTCGTCTTGCCTGGGTCTAAGGTGCTGAATGGAGCAATCCAACATCGTCCCCCTATATAGCTATGGTGTTGTACATAAAATACATACTTTTGCACTAAATGATTGTGCGTGCTAAAGTTATAAAAACTTTATAACTATGTTTATGACATACACAATGGAATGAGGTATGTGCTTTATTCATGTTTGGGAGAATAAACAATGATTGCCAGTCTGTATTTGTATCTGAGACATGCTAAATTGAAGTTAAGCCAATTTCTTTAGCGCAGGACTTCTCGGAACCTTGAATATACTAATATGAATTGCGACTGTCCAAGAGGGAGATAGAGCGTGCAGTATTTTTCAAAATTATTTGACCACCAAAACATTTTTCACAAAGTTTTACTAATATCTCACAGACACATTTTCAGAGATCCTGAACTACCCTCGGCCGTCTTCAGTAGGAAAGAGTAGAAACCAAAAGGCAGAGACAGTGCAACACTGGGAGAATCTCCTGACTCCCAAGATAACCGAGAGAGCCTGCCTCATCATGATGACTCCACTCTGTAGATGACATGGGTCTTGAGTGATCTCAAGGCCCTGGAATTTAGTGGCTTGGCCACTGCACTTACACTGTTTATCATGGCACCTCAGCAGAGGGTCTAAGTTCAATCCCAGGAATTATGGAATCTGTCTTTATGATAGGGAGTCTGATGCCAGGGAAACCTTTATTCCGGCAGTGAGTGGACTACCCCAGTGATCTCATCCCTCCAAATGCCTGCGTCCCATCCGTGTGCCGGGCTCCAGGTGAGCTGACTCCCTCCTCGCCTGCCTGGTCCGCCTCTCATCATCTGATCCGATTCCACTAGTGGACTGAACTGAACCAGGCTTCCACTTTCTCCAGGCAAGGACTCTGGGTTATTCACATTATTTGAGTCCACAAGTTAGGACCAAAAAAAATTGTGGATGGCAGTGATGCTGGAGATGATCTGTGATACAATTTCCACCAAATAACCCTCAAGGACCCAGCAGCCATCTTTTTGATTGAGGATACCAACCCATCATATACTCTTTCGTGTGAGATGAAATGAGATAATGTGAGATACTATATGTACAAATGTTTCATAAATGGTAAGACATCATACAAACAATAATGAATACAGTCTCCATTGCCCTGATCAGTGATTGGTCCATTTCTAATAACCCTCAGCTTTTGATTGATATTTCCAGTACCTGAGCCAGATCCCTGGCTGTATCTGAGACATGCTAAATTGAAGTTAAGCCAATTTCTTTAGAGCAGGACTTCTCAGAACCTTGAATATACTAATATGAATTGCGACTGTCCAAGAGGGAGATAGAGCGTGCAGTATTTTTCAAAATTATTTGACCACCAAAACATTTTTCACAAAGTTTTATTAATATCTCACAGACACATTTTCAGAGATCCTAAACTACCCTCGGCCGTCTTCAGTAGGAAAGAGTAGAAACCAAAAGGCAGAGACAGTGCAACACTGGGAGAATCTCCTGACTCCCAAGATAACCAAGAGAGCCTGCCTCATCATGATGACTCCACTCTGTAGATGACATGGGTCTTGAGTGATCTCAAGGCCCTGGAATTTAGTGGCTTGGCCACTGCACTTACACTGTTTATCATGGCACCTCAGCAGACCCATCTGCCCTGTCCGTCTTATCTGGAGTTCAAATTTTGATAGCCCATCCACCAGTTCCTCTGTTTTAGATACCTGCAACCAGTCAGCACAGCGCTTTTCCGGTGCCCGGACAACCTTTACGTGGCACATTGGAGATGGTTCTTGAAGTAATGGAGAGCCAGCTTGAACTGGATCTGAGCTCTGGTGTTGGTACGGTATACGCTGTAGCCCTTCTCCAGGGCTGCCAGCTCTGGGTCCGCCACTGGAGAACGGGGCTGGTGACCTACGATCACATTTGAGCAGGACCCCACAAGCAGGCTTCCGAGCCCATCAATAAAGAACTCTGCCAAGAGAGGGAAAGTGCGAGAAGGAAATGTGAGCTTCCGCCAGAGACCCAGGGCCATACTGCAGGTCTCGGAGAAGAGTCAGGGGGAGGGGACCGAGTTTATACCCCTGGGGAGCTTCCACCCCTGTGAAGCCACCTGCCCAGGCTACTCAGCTGGAAGGACAGACAGTGATATGGGTAGAGAGACACAGATTGGCTTCCAACTGGACGGAACTGTGGACTCCAGGACTGAGGGGAATGAGAGGGGAAGGTCACCAGCTGCAGTTTCATAGGAGAGGATGTCTGGAATAGCAGCAGCAGCAGCCAGGTGGGGAAAGAGGGAGGGGCCAGAGCTGTAGGCAAAGGAAGGGGAAGGGCGTCTGGCGAAGCAGAACAGCCTGGGGGAGACAAGAAGGCAGAGAGGGGGGAGGGAGGCAAGAGAGACCGCGAGGGGCTTCCCTGGTGGTCCAGTGGCTAAGACTCTGAGTTCCCAATGCAGGGGGCCTGGGTTCGATCCCTGGCCAGGGAACTAGATCCCGCATGCCGCAACTAAGAGTTCGCATGCCGCAACTAAAGACTCTGCACATGGCAATGAAGATCCAGTGTGCTGCAACGAAGACCCAGTGCAGCCAAATAAATGAATAAATATTCTAAAAAAAGAGAGAGAGAGGGGCTTCCCTGGTGGCGCAGTGGTTGGGAGTCTGCCTGCCAATGCAGGGGACGTGGGTGACCCGGTCCGGGAAGATCCCACATGCCGCAGAGCGGCTGGGCCCGTGAGCCATGGCCGCTGCGCCTGCGCG